TCAATAAGATGTAAACATGAAAATAGCCCTGGTTTTTCAGCAACAAGACAAAAACAATTTCCAATCCAGCTATTAACTTTGCAATGATTAATTATTCAATTACTGTTGTTTAAATTTCTAACCAAGCTAAAGGCTGGCTAAATATATTCTGTGTTTCCATGATTGAATTGCGAGTTAGTTCCAGAATAGTAATTTAAAACTTGAGTGTCATTCAGAAACAGGCCCAAAAGCCTTCGAATGAGAATATTTTTCATTTTATTTTAAAATCAGTTTTTTCCCCACCATGGCTGAAGAAAAAGACCATGTCCAGTGAAAGCTCCAAAACCTGAAGAGAGAAGAATGATACTAGCGTTTTAGCAACAAGGCATGTGTGAATGGGTGCACATGTATGCATGACTCCTGAGGTTTTTTTTCTGTATTGATTCTATAAACATTGCTTCAACTCACCTAATCTCAACGTTCAATCACTTCCCTTTTTCAATACTTGCTGGGAAATGATATGTACTTTGAAATTCTGCCAGAGGATATAGAATGAATTATGGAAATCAAGCCGAAACAGTTACATAATGCAACTACTTATTCTGTCCATGAAGTTGAATTTTCTGAGGTCAGAATCTGGATTGAGGAGAGGATCAGCAAATACAAAGAATGACAGAAAGATTTAAAGCCTGGAATGTAAGAGCAAATAGCTGCTCTTTGCCCAGAATACCAAGAGCAAATATCCAGTTTTCTAAGAAAGGTCTACTGAAATCAGTAGATTTTAGCTTGTTAGTGACTAATGTTTGTTTATTTAAATAAAGTGGGCTTGAATTCAATTTACGATATAGGACAGAAGTGATGCAAAGCATGATTTTTGAAAATAACTAAAAACTCAACCACAAAAAAAGAAAGCCCAAAATCTCCACTGCCATTTAAGTGATTATCAGAAAATAAAATTATTTTTATGACCTTACAAGAAGCCATAAGGGTGGAGGCTATATTTAATCCTAGGGGATAAGTCAGGGCCACTACTTAGAATGCCAGCCATTTCTTTGGGATGGAATTTTAAGCATCCTTTCCCACCGGTTAAACAGAATTTAATCAAACTGGATGATCTTGAAGATGAATTGACACCAAGTCATATATAGTTTTAAAGACTGATCTCAGTAATTTCAATTGGACTTAAAAGCCTATCAATCACCAATATCATAAAACAGCACAGATGCTATGCTGCTAAAGAATCTCACTCTGGTCATCAGCCAGAATTTTGAATTAAATACAGATTTGGGGTGTTTTTTTTTAAAGACAACCCCACACAGAGGATAAACAGTCCATGTTTCACAGTCCTAATTGGAGTTAGAGATTTCCAAGATCTTGCAAAAAACTAGCAGTTACCTCAGTCAGGAATATCTCAGAAGCAGCAGGAAGAAGGCAAAGGTCAGTTAGGGGACAGACAATATATAGGGGCAGTGGAGTGTGTTGGAAGAAAAAGTTTTGGTTCGTTCTTTTCCAGCCAGGATTATGAGATTGGTGCGACGAACAGAATGAGAGAGCAAGAAACAAGCTGCTGGGAAAGGAACGTCTTTTATTTCAGACTTTACCTGACCTGGAACCCTACAGCATGGGGTTCCAGGTCAGATATTGGAATACGTGGTAGTGAGCTGGAAGCCCCTAAGCTTGGTGTGGTTCCGTATGGTTTGTGGTCTTGAGGCCAGGTTGTCAGAATGTCCTTTACAGACTTGTCTTCTGCTAAGCAGACGTCTGTTGTATTTAGAATTACTCATGGCAAATATTCCGATATTCCCCAGCATGAACTATAAAATAAATATGAGATACATTTTAATCATGTTCTTCCACCTGGCCCTCGCAGTCCCTTCCATAGTCCCTTGTTATGTCAAAAAGAATCTCTCTTAACTCCCACTCGTCTGTTTTGAGACCTTTCCTTAGTCACAAGGGTGGAACTCTTCATGTCAGTTGTGGCTCGCTATTGTGATAAAGGATGGCCGGTTTGAAGTGAGTCCAATGATTCCAGACGTCTCTTTCCACAATACTCACGGCTATGTGGGTGGTTAGAATAATCTAGAAGGTTCCATTCCACTTGGGCTGCACTGTTGATTTCTGGGTGAATGATCTTATCCAGATCCAGTCTCCAGGCTCAAAGGGCTTCTTCCAGCAGTAGTGTCTGGGTTAAAGTGCTGTGCTTCCACAAGTTGCAGAGTCACTGGTGCAGGGCTGCAAGATATGAGGATAGAACTATATCCCCCTCCCCCTTCCAGGATCAGCAAGTGTGGATCTAAATCTTTTAGGGTGTTGGGGAATGGCAGCCAAAAAGGAGTTTAAACAGGTAGACACCTAGGTCACGGGGGATCTGGTCCTCGGGTGGAAAATGGTTATGGGAAGGGTTTGGGACCATGATAGGCAGGTCTCTTGACAGAGCTTGCCCAATAGGATCTACACACACCCGCCCACACACGATGATGAACAGTGGTAAGGGGTTTGAAGGTTTTCCTCCCTTAGGTATAGTCTTCCTAGAGGAGGTATTGTTGGCTTGGCGCATTTGGCAGGCCTCAGATATACAAGTGGCCTCATAGGGCATACAAATTCATCTGATGACATCTACCATGGTCCTTTGACTGCAGCTGCTGCTACATGAGCCACAGCAGGCAGTGAGGGGCTCTTGGTCTATGGTCCAGGACTCGCCAAAACCCATCCTCAAAACTGGTCTGAAATTTCTCCTCCCAAGTCTCTGCTTTCACCTCTTCAAGGAAGTTTTGATAAGAGGTCCTCACACCAACCTTTAAGGTTGGGAGAATAGTGTGGTTGGCTGCGGATTGGGTAGCAACCCTTGTACTG